ACCAGTTTCGACCAATCCAACCATGGATGAATTCTCCAGCTCTCATATCTCAGCACATGCTTCACTTTTAAGAATCTTGACAGCTCTAACCTTCCATGAATACCATGTTCTTGACTTTTCATCCTGTAAGTAAAAATTTTTCTTAGCCTTTCTCCCTTCTTTTTCTTCACCAAAACCACACCACTATTTACACCCTCATCTTATGATTCTCTTTTGCTGTTCCTTATTATTTTGCAAGCTGTGATTTTGTGGGAATCAGATTTAATAGCCCCATTGTACAACCAACACTTGAATTTTTAAACCAAACAGACTGCACCTTAAATATCATTGGGTTTATAAAAGTTCACTTGTTTAGAATTCAGAAATATTTACTCACAGATATGACTTTATACAACATTACGCAGAGATCAGGTCCCTAGCAAGCCCACAAAAACCTATTTAACTTACAGTACGCATTAACACTAACTATCGAAGGGCCTAAATTAGCAGCACTAGCAAAATTTTAGGTGGAATTATATATATATACATATATATTTATTTTCTATATGATGCCTAGAATTGAAGACTTACTCATGTAGCTACCTACTTGGCAGCAAGTGTAGTGACTCCCCGGCTCTAAGCGTCTGGTGGGGTACTTGTGGAGATGAACACCAGGGTAAAAGATAAGATCTCCATCCCACATCTAGGGGGCTTAACAGATCAGGACCCACAGCCAGGGAAAGCCATCAGTCCTCTCCAAGTAGGTGTCTTAGAAATATCCAGGAGATAAAGAGTCTCCTCGTTAAAGGATTCATTTACTTGCCCTTACTACCAGTCAAACTCTATAAAGGACAACAAAATTATCTCCACTAAGGTTGGCTTCATCTTCATTGAAGTGGCTATGCCAAGAGTAACAGAGGCCTGGCAACCCTATATGAGAAGAAAACAGGATACAAGACAAGCAAAATCCAAGTGATGATGGCATCTCTCCTGTCTGTGAACCCTCTCTCTCTTAATTGCTTTTCTTTTAGCGGGATGAGGGATAAAAGCAAGTGAGAATGGGAAAGTAGCCTTCCATATCTTGGTTTCTTCCTACCCCTATATCCAACATATCACCTTTTGCCACTTGAGAAACTCAACAAGGCAGGGAAGGTGCAAAGCAGCAGTAGATTAGAAGGGAAAGAGCAAAGGAGGAAAAAGCAACAGTAGGTAAAGATGAAACACTGAAGCGGGGCTAGCAGAGGAGTTAGAGAGGGTAAGGGAGAGATGACTATAAATAATAGGTGAGTATAAATATGTGAAGAATATATTTTGCAGCACTAGGTGTTATTTCTAGGGTTAGCCAAGTTCTGGAGACTCAGACTCCAAACCTCAAAGAAATGTCATTCTGACAGAAGTATAGAATCCCAGAATGTCAAAAGCTGAAGGGGCCCTCAAAGACTATCCAGTCACACAGTTCTTAATTTTTTGTGGGTCACAACCCCATGTGAGACTATGGTGAAAGCTGCACATCCTCTCCCCAAGAGGAAAATAAAACATACCTCAGACTCATGCACAATGAATTTCATACACAATTTCAGGGGCTTCACAGACACATCAAAGCTCATCCAGAGGTCCTTACCTAAGACCAGCTCCCTCAATTTCCAGATGGACAAACAGAACCAGAGAAGGTAAGTCACTTGCCCAAGGGCACGTATTAAGTGTCCTTCAAACTTCTCAGCCTACACTACACACCTATCATCAAGTCAGGCTCCGCACCTCGGCTGTCCCTCCGCATTCCAGAGCTATGCCCCAGTACTCCAAGATGGGCTTCTGGATGCTCTGACAGAACTGATGCTGACCACACCCTGCTTCACAAATTAGGGTTTGTGGTCCATCTAATTTAGGGTCCCACACCACAGCTTTTAGCAGTCCTGGGTATCCTCCAGTCTTTCAGTGGCAGACCTTAGCCACTGGAAGCATCTTTTTTGTCTGGGTGGTGCAAGTACATTCTAAGTAGTAAGCCTGAGTTATCTATGTGTGTTCTTTAAGCCAGGGGTCCTTCTGTAATAGTTTCTCTTAGGTGTGCTCTTCTCCTTCCAACTGGCCAGTTCAAATCTCCTCTCTGCCCAAACAGAACTACACTATCCTCTATTAATTCAGTTCATTCTGTTTGCTCCCAAATTTATCCCCATCTTTTAATCCCCAACCCTTAAGGCTATCTCCACCGCTTGCAGGGGAGCACTAACATTTCCTTGCAATATCAAGTTCTTTTCCTTTTAGTCCTCTATTTCCACTGTAGAGGTTTTAACACTTACTATTCACAATTCTGAGAATGGCTGATATCTATAAAAATCCTATATAAATCCACTCCTTCACTCCCTAAATGTCACATCTAAAAACCTTCCTATACCTCTACCATCCTGCCAACATCCTCCACCATCCCTGACTTATTCTACTAATTAATCCTTTCCTCAGATCACACCAGGCCTTCCCAGGTGCATGTTTATCTCTTATTAACACACTTTACAGGGCAGAGATAAACCAACTTATCTTACAACTAACCAGAAAACTTAGGGATCTCTTGTTCTATAAAATTTTCATAATTCTGAACCAATTTCTCATTCTGTATCTAATAACAATTCTATGGAGAAACTCCTTTTCTTGATTGCTGTTATCTGCTCATCCATCTATCTCCTCTATCATTTACTGCCTACTAAGTGCTAGGTGGTGACAAAGTCTTTCTTCCCTTGAAACTTACTGTCTTAGAATGCAGACAGACTCTAACACCAGTTTCTTATAACTCAGTCATTTCCAATACTATAGTTTAAATTACCTTTCATTACCCTCATCAAAAATACCTTTCTCCCATTTAAAACTTCCCCACGTCTTCAATCATCTATCTGGTCCCTGGGATCATGACCTGAGCCGAAGGCAGACGCTTAACAACTGAGCCACCCAGGCACCCCTGGCCTTCAGGTTCTAATGCCTTTCTTTAGTTTCTATTGGCTTCAGCTTGCTCTTATCAAAATAATATTGCATGTCACTTAATCTGACCTAACATCATAGATCCTAACATCAATCATAGAGCTTTTATGTCTACCTAGGATAGCCTCTCTTGCCTAAAGAAGTGCCACACCACATCTACCAAACTGCTTAAATAAAGAACGAACAAACAAACACAGAATTTGAGTGCCAAAAGGGTCTAGGAATCATCCAGTCCAACCCTTCATCTTCTCGATAAGGAAAAGTGAGGCCCAGAGAGGTAAGCTGGCTTGTCCAAATACACAAAGTCAGAAAGTATGAGTCCTGAAGCAAGGATACAGATCTTAAACTCCAGTGCAGACTAATTTTATTTTACTATGTCACTTCACCTTACTGAAGCCTCATTTTTCCTTTTTCTCTTATGCTATGCCTTAGTGTATTTTTCACTTAAGTGTATCCCTGCAGGCATACATTCATTTAAACAAACACACACAAGGGGTGCCTGACTGGCTCAATTGGTAGAGCATGCGGCTCTTGATCTCGGGGTTTTTAGTCTGAGCCCCATGCTAGGTGTAGATTATTTTAAAATAAAATCTTAAAAAAAAATAAACACACACATACAAGTCTATATTCCTTACCCTAAGAGAACATAAGAATCACAGCACTGCAAATTTTGAAAGGAGGAAAGGACCCTCAGGGATTACCTAAACCAGTAACTGTCAGAAGTTAAAAATTACAAGCACAGATTTTTCAATCTACAGGACTACTCAATATGTAGCTTTCCACATCCCACCGCTTCTCTCCCCCAGAAAATCATGGTCTTATAGAGCCATTATTTTATTCTTCAGTTGTGCTGAGAGTATGGGAAAGAGAATGAAGAACCAGTGACCTAATCCAATGTGCTCATTTGCCAGGTGAGAAATCTCAAGTCCAGAGAGTCCAAAGGAATTTGCCCAAAGTGCCAGCAAGTTAATAGCAGGTTTAAGACAAAAAAACCAAGATCTCCCATTCTTCACGCAGTTGTGTTTTCACACTGCTGGTCTAGATTTATAAAACAAAGTCGTCAGGACAGAGCTTCCCCCTGCACAAGAACCCTCCTAAGTGGCCCTTGGCCAGTTTGGTGCCTGGAAAAATATGGTAGACATCTCTTATCAGTCAACTCCTGGCTATCCAGGAGGCAGGAAGACAAGCCTTTCAGGTCTGTCTCTAAGGAAAGACCCCTTTAAAGGGAGTTGAGAACCTGATCTCCGGAGCTAGGAGAAGCGTTAAGAGGCAACTAACATTTTCATTTTACAGATAAGCAAACTGCGCTACAGAGAGGGTAATGGAACTGGGCAAGGTCACACAGGGAGTCGGTGGCGAGGTAAGACTAGAACTTGAGGCTCCTGATCCCAGGGCTGGCCGCCTCTCAAAGATGTATTCATTGCGTCTTGCTCAGAGACCTCTCAGTACGCTGACTGCCGGTCTTCCCTAACGTACTGGCTTAAATACTGACAACGTTAAAATCGTAGAATGCGTGACGCCCGGGGTGGGATGGTGTCCCATAAATTGCCCAGGCCAACCCCCCACCCCGCCCCCCATTCTGAGGGAACCAAGACTCAGAGAGGGTTCTTTATGCTAGAATCTTCGGCCAGATCTGGACAAGGTAAGCAAACCTCTCAACCAGGGCCTACAAGGCCAAGACCCACAAACTCAATCCCAGCTCTCCCGGGAGCTCTAGGCCTGAAAGGAGCCCGAGACCGAGAGCCCAGGCGGTCGGGAGCCCGGGAGCCCCGGAGCCCCCATCCGGCCGCCTCCACCCCGCCGCCCACACCCCCGGCTCTGCCGCCCGCCGCCGGTCCCCGGGTCCACTCGGCCGCCGCCTCACCTACTCCGGCCCTCCGTCTGTTATTGTGGTTGAGAGGGAGGGAGAAGCGCGACCGACACTTCCCGCGGCCCCCACCGCCGCGGCGCTTCCGCTTCCGCCGCCGCTCGGGCATTTCCGGAGGGTTGCCTTCCGGGGCTGGGCTCGTTCCTCGTGTCCGTGTTGGATGTGGGACGCCGGCGTCGAGTCACGGCAGCCATGTTGAGTGTGGCAGTTCGTGAGGAGCTGGAGCCGGTCCACCTTACCGCGGCGGCATTGCCGCGCCGGAAGTGCTTAGAGTCGGAGGCGGGGGAGGCAGTTGCTTTTCTGTGGTTCGCAACTGAGTTCGCCGGTGTTCGGCGGCTTTGGGTAAGCTTTTGGACCTTGCGTTTGGCATTTGCAAAACGACTGCGTTCCATTAGGGATTTTTCCAGAATTCGTTTAGCTAAAAAAAGAGAATTTTTTTTTTTTTTTTTTTTTTGGAGAAGGGTCGCGGGGGACAGTTTGAAGATGTTAATGTTAAATCAGCTCTTTATTTTGGGGACGTTGTTTCTGCACGTAATTAACAGCGTTTTATACGTTTCAAAAGGCTCTCACATGAGTATCTCATTAAGAACTCCCTACCACTCTGACATATGGGCAGGAATCACTTAATCGGTTTTTTTGTTTAATGGATAAAAATTTATCTTCAGAGGTTGATTTACTCAATGTCACACAGGTGGACTGAAACGCAAAATTTTGCCCTCCACATCCCACGTTCTTGCCGCTGCATACATGTAAGTAAAATGGACTAAAATGCATAAATTAAAGTAGATACAAATAATCTTTAGGAAAGTTAGCGTGCATGAGACCCAATTTGACAAGACACAAGGCCAACTAGACGGTTCTGCCGTAGAACGAACTGAAGATGGACTTTGGAAGGGGGGCGCCGTCCTTCCTAGTCCTTTCTTGATGCCAAACCTGGTTTTTCCTCTTTCCCTACTATGGTTTGGCATTATGGGTTTCAGCTTCTCATGGCAGTCACAGTTCTAGCTATGCAATTCCAGGTGTCTTGATTTAGGGCTCTGGGAAGAAAAAGCAACAAAGCCTCATCATATTTATATACTGTTCATCTTAATCCCCACTTTCATATTACATTATTCATGTAAGTGAAAATAAAGTCCCGTTGCCATGTTAGTTGCTTCCATCGATTTCTTTCACATTTGAACTTAAATAAATCAAACAGTAAAACAAACCTTGGCTTTTTCCGTTTTCTGGATTATTTAGAAAAACAAATAGGAATTATATATGAAAGTGTCTAGCACTGAGCCTGGCATAGATACAAGTGATTCAATAAAGTTTATTTCAGTGCAAATGGGTTGAATCTTTATTTGAATATATTATTGAATGTGGTTAGCATTCCTCCTTCAGTAAAGAGTACTATGGTGGGACCAAAATACTCACAAATAAGATACGTTTCCTACTTCAAATTTAGAAGGGAAGCAAAAGCTTATGTACAAATACTTTTATAAATGCTGAATAGAGATGTTTTCTGAGTGCTATGAGTGCCTGCTGTCTATAAGTAGACTTAAAAACTAGTTTTAACATTCTTTTTCTAAGATTTTATTTATTCATTTGTGGGGGGCGGGGAGCAGAGGGAGAGGAACAAGCAGACTCCCTGCTTAGTGCAGAGCCAGACGTGGGGCTCAGTCTCAGGACCCTGAGATCATGACCTGAGCCAAAATCAAGAGTTGGACACTTAACCGACTGAGCCACCCAGGTGCCCCAGTTTTAGCATTTTAAGGTAGAAGGTGTGCATCCCTTTACCTCCAAGATTTTTTTGTTCCTTGGTGATGTGGGTTTTTATTAGAGTCCTGAGCTAGTGTTCCCTGCTCTCATACAGTAGCATCATCAGGGAAGCTCTTCCCTCTACAGAGAAATCTGCCCTATACTAAATGGCTCTGAACCACTGTGGGTTTTTTTTTTTTTTTAATTCTTACTCCCTGCTTTTTAATTAATTTTTTAAAGATTTTATTTTTATTTCATTCACGAGAGACAGAGAGAGAGGCAGAAGGAGAAGCAGGCTCCCCCGAGGAACAGGGAGCCTGACGCAGGACTGGATCCCAGGACCCGGGCGCTTAACTGAGTGAGCCACCCAGCCACCTCTTAATTAAAATTTTAAATACCTCTTACTTCTCATACTCCCATAGGTTCTAGCACCAGCCTCTCTTCTCCCTTGAAATGTCTTAGGCCCTTAAATAGGGGCTGAACATTTGTTGGAAGGTCTTAACACTTAAGAGAACAAGCTCTGGTTGAGGATAGGGGACAGGGTTTGTTAGGTCCCCTTATGGCTATGGGGCCTGTGTAATGCAAAACTGCAGGAGGTACCATGCACATTGGGGTCATCCACATTACGCTTGGAGTCAAGTAATGTGGCAGAACTCAGCTATGAATTAAATACAGGATTTTTTGAGAATATATCCTTCTATAGCTGCTTCAGCTGAGAAACTGTGTATTCAGTGGTCAGCAATGCAGGCTTTACAATTTTAGAAGTTTAGAAAGATCTGCTTCAAGTGTGAGTTCCTCTGCTTACTGGCAGAGACCATGAGCAAGCATTTCAATTCTCAGCTTCAGGTTTGCCAAGTAAAAATGGACATCATTATGGTACCTACATAATAAACCACAGCAGAATTTAGTGGTTAAACACAATTTGTTATTCTGTGGGTTGACTGGATTTGGCTGGGTGGTTCGAGCTTGGGGTCTCTTACACATTTGCAGTCAGATGTCAGCTGAAACTATAGTTAACTTCAGGCTCAAATGAATGTCATGTTATTGGCTATTCAGGCTGGAAGCTCCCTAGGGGCTCAGCTAGAGCTATCCAACAGAGTGCCTGCACATGGCCTCTTTCTCTGGTTTGGGTTTCTCACAACAAAGTGCTTGCTTAGGGGGCTCTCAGAGACCATAAATGCAGAGAGTGAGCTGTTCCAAGCAGTAAAGTAGGACTTATGATCTAACCTTGGATCCCAGAAGTTACTTCTGTCACAGTCTATTGGTCAAGAAGACACTAAGCCAGCCTAATTTCAAGGGGAAAAGAGTAAGACTCCACCTCTTAATCGAAGGAGTAGCAAAGAATTTGTGGCCATCTTTAATTTACCACACTACCTCATTTATTTGTTTTTAATTTATTTGGACATACGTACGTTTTATTAGCACAGGTAACAAAAAGAAAGCCTGGTAACCCCACCAGTACAAATAGTTTTGAGTCTGCATGTGAATCATTCTTTACATGCTTTTTAATTGTGTAAAAATATACATAACATAAAATTTACCATCTTAAACATTTTTAAGTGTGGACTTCAGAGGCATTTAGTATATTTACATTGCCATGCAACAATTACTACCAGCCACCTCCAGAACTTTTTTTTTTCTCTTCCCAAATTGAAACTCTATACCAGTTAACTCCCATCCCTGCCCACCCCCCAGCCCCTGGCAACTATTGCACTTTTTGTCTCTAGATACAAATCATATTATTTTTTGTCCTTTTGTGTTTGGCCACTTTCACTTAGCATAATGTCTTCAAGGTTCATCCCTGTTGTGTCATGTGTCAGAATTTCCTTCCTTTTTAAGGTTGAATAATACTCCATTGTATGTATATACCACATTTTGTTTGTCCATTCATCCATTGATGGACATTTGGGTTGTTTCTACCTCTTGGCTGTTGTGAATAATGCTTCAGTTACCATGAGTATGCAAATATCTCTTCTAGATCTACCCTTCCATTCTTTCACATATATATCCAAAAGTGGATTGCTGGATCATATGGTAGTTTTATTTTTAATTTTTCCATTCAGCTGCACCATTTCACATTCTCACCAGCAGAGCACAAGGATTCCAATTTCTCCACATCTTTGCTCTCTTCTGGTTTTTTTTTGTGAGGAAATATTTGTAACCCACTTAGTGCCTGGCATGCATCAAAAACTCCACAAAGCTTAGCTGTTATTATTTGACTGTCCAGAGCCCTCTTTTCTTTCCTTCTCGCCTATAGTTGAAGTTGCAAGGGCTGAACTCTTAGCATGTGGTATTTCTGAAGTTCATTTTCAAAGCATTTTACACTTTCCCAAGTTACATAAGGAAATGCTAAGGAAGGATATTGTACATAGGTATATGCATAGAGAATTGTAGTTTCAAAACCAAACACAAGGTGGTAGATTAGGAAAAAAATCCAAAAATATAACAACAATAAAAAAAACAAAACAAGAGAGAATGAAGGAAGGTAGGAAGAGAAAGAGAAACAGGAAAAGGAAAAACCTGCATGGGAGGCTTTTGTCAGCCTGAGCTCTGAGTAAAGCATTAAGCAACAAGGCCTTTGCTTTTTATTTTTATTTTTATTTTGGACCAGACTACACCAGATCAAAGTTATGTCACAGGAAAGTGAAAAGATTGAGGATGAAACTTAAGAAACTAACAAGCTTTAGGGACGCCTGGGTGGCTAAGTCGTTGGGCATCTGCCTTTGGCTCAGGTCATGATCCCAGGGTCCTGGGATCAAGCCCTGCATCAGGCTCCCTGCTCAGTGGGAGGCCTGCTTCTCCCTCTTCCCCTGCCTGTGTTGCCTCTCTTGCTGTCTCTCTCTGTCAAATAAAAAAATAAAATCTTTAAAAAAAAAGAAAAAAGTGACAAGCTTTCTTTTTACAATTACTTGTGTTGTGTTTTCCCTGTCACTACCTCTAGGGCAGGTCTTTTAGCCTGATCTCTAGAGATATCGGAGCACAGAAGTTACTCTTTAGAAAATTGTTTGAAATGTCAAGAGCTATTTACGTTCAGTCGACATTTATTAAAAAGATTTCATGGAACCTGGGAATATATTAGACACTAGGGTGGCAGAGATGACCAGGAACCAGTCTCTGCTCCTAGGCAGGCTGGGAGACATGTTCTGAACAAAGAACACTTCAGGGGAATGCCAGGATGCCCTGCAGCACAGCGGGCACCCAGTGAGTCCAAGCTGTTTGCAGCTACACTTGAAATAACTGCTGAGCACCCTCTTTAACTCACTTTTCCTCCCACTATGGGCTTCTGTGTCACTGCTTCTTAATTGTGTCCCTGTCTCAATCGTCCTGGCTCTAGCCTCTCCCCTGCAAAGTCTTACTTTGATTGTGTTTGTTTTGGTTTTGCATTCTTTTAATCACAGTGTCACTCTACCGGTCATTTAAATACATCATCACATTTAATCCGATGAATTCTGTGACCTACGTACCGCTTACGCCGTTTTATAAACAATGCAACTCAGGTTCAGAGTGGTTAAGTTTTTTGCTAAAGTTCACACAGCTAGTAAATTGCAGAGAATTATTATGAAATCTGAGCTATCTAACTTCAAAACCCATATTCCTCATTACTAAATGGTACACTCTTGTAATTTTTTCCTCCAAATGAAAATCTGATTAATCTTCCTAAAGCATACTGTGCATTATAATGGCTCTTTTGTGATTGAATTTTTAACCTTCATGTATACATTTGTAACTTGTCAATCAGATGTCCAAGGCCCAATACACATTGGTTGTGGCCTACCATTTAAATCTCGTTTCCCTTCACAGTGTGTTCCAGCTGCACACGGGAGTCCCTGTTTGCCCTTGCATACCCTGTGGCTCCCCCTCATGTTAGCTGAGTGAGCAAGTTACCTCCCTCTAAGTAGAAGGTGAATCAGTGTCGTTCAGCTATTACAAGGAAAGAAATGGAAGATGGGCCCCTAGGTGGACCCAGTACTGCAACAGAAACTGATGGTCCTTAAATTCCAAAGATAAC